AGGAGACAAATTATCAAGTGCTGTTACCCAGTTTGGGGAAAATTCTTGTTGCTTGTTGCCTTGAAACTGCAAGAATGGTGAGATTTCCCTCTGAAATCATCTTTCCAGGCTTAACTTCAGTCCTTCATTCTTGACTCTTTCACCTCCTTCTCGGCCCAAGCAGTGCAGGGAGGATGGGCTTTGGTGGGTGGTAGCCAGTTCTTCAACAATTCCTCTTTGTCACTCCTACCTCCTCTCACTTTTCCTTGCTCCATAATATGGGACCTCTGGTTTACCATCTTTCTGGGTAAACTGGCTTACCATCTTTCCCTAACTACAGCAGAGCAGGTCCTTTGCACAGGCTGCAGTTCTTCATGAGCTGCTTCAGAATGGGACTTCCCAATCATTTGGGAACAGTCCGCTCCAGTATGGGTCCTCTACTGGACCCATGTTCCTACCAGAAAAATGTGTTTCTGTCTGAACTCTTGACGTGGGCAGTAGTTCCTGCCAGAGGGAACTCCTGTGCTGGCTCTCTGTGGCCTGCAGTTTCCTTCAGGGCATGTCTGCCAGCTGTGGCATGATGTCTCCACAAACTGCAGTTTGGGTATTGGCTCTCACATGATCTTCCATAGACTGTAGTGAAGTAAATGATGATCTCCTTCACAGACTGCGGAGAAACCTGCTCTGGTGGTCTGGAGCACTTCCTGCCCATACTACCATACTGTAGTCCTCCTGTCCTTGGTGTCTGCAGTAATCTCTCTTGCATCTTTCCTTTGTTATTCCTCTTTCTCACGGATGGTACATGGCATTTATTTTTTTACCTACTTCCCTTTCTTAAATATGGTATCACAGAAGAGCCATGGAATCTGCTGGTAGGTTCAGCTCTCGCCAGCAGTGGGTTGTGGGTGTTTTGGAGCCAGCTGGAACTGGCTGTATCTGTGCACAGAAGCAGTTCTGGTTTCTTCTCACAGAAGCCATTTCAGCATTTGCACTCCAAAAATTAAATTCTAGAGAAATGCTTTTATAGGGAAAGAATAAAATGAGGTTTTGTGCATTTAAACGGCACTACATGAAATTAAACACTTGGATATCAAGTACGAGTCTGAATCCTAAAATATGCCAGCAGTGCTTATTGCAGTGGTTTGGATTTGGTATATGGTGTTTTAGCAGGACAGAAGTAACTCATGTCATGTTTTAAGAAAGGCTGCCTTGTTTTAAGAATGAAAGGACTATAGCATAATTGAGAGGCAAGTTACGGAGGTATATTTAAAGTTGTGTTTTAAGATATAGATGAATGGAGTAGGAGGGCTGACAGTCACTGGCAAACTTTTGGTGACTGAAATGAGGCTTTTTTCTCTCCTGAGCTATACTGATAGTATTAATGAAACTGTTCTCAAATCTCTTTATTTGAAAGTTTGTAGTAGGTAAGCATTGAGCTGTCCATCAGCAGATAAATTAGAAAGATTGGTAAACTGCTATGTCTGGATTGTTAATGTCATTTTCTGTCTCACCTCCTTGAAGTTTTTGACAAGGTGGGACGAGAGGTTAATGAGATTTGCACCTCTTGTTTCATTTTGCCATTAGAGGTTTACTGGGGAAAGATGACTGTTATATTTTAGCACTTTTAAATTGCTATTAACATGGGGGGTTGAGATTTATGTATAAAATAGGCAGAGTTAGCAGTGTGTTACTTAAATTGTAAACGTGTTAATGAAGCATGTAAGTAATGAACAGTATCTTTCTCTTTCTGTTACAGTTTGAGGGTGGCTCTGGATATGGTAAGTTTTTTTACAGACCCTTGATACATAACTAATTATGAAGTTTCAAAGGGCTTGGTACATACATTTAAATCAGACTATTCCTATGCAGGGGGACGTGGTTCATATGGAGATCTTGGAGGACCTATCATCACAACACAAGTAACGATTCCCAAAGATGTAAGTAAAGTGATCTTGCTTTTAATTTGTTTATTTAAGATGAAGTCACAGAGATACTCAGAGCAATTTTAATAGTTAATATCAAATAATAAAAAATGGTCCACGCAGCTTCTTTTTAAAATGCCAGTTCTCCAATTTTATCCCAGATGCATGTCTGTACCTGGTATTGTGGGGGGGGGGGTTGTGACTGTAGAGAAGGAAGCTTAAAATTAAACTCATGCGCAAACACTGACAGGCATTTTCTAATAGTTGTTATGTCAAGACACATCAGTAAATGAATGCTTTGCTTTCTCCCTTAGCTGGCAGGATCTATTATTGGAAAGGGAGGCCAGAGAATCAAACAAATACGGCATGAGTCTGGAGCTTCAATCAAAATTGATGAACCACTAGAAGGCTCAGAAGATCGGATTATAACTATTACGGGAACACAGGACCAGATACAAAATGCACAATATTTACTGCAGAACAGGCAAGTTGAAGTTTAATGTTGTTCTCCCTGTCAGTTTTAAATTGATTTTTTTTTTTTCCTGGTGCATTCTAAGTTTCTTCTTTGTAATAGAGGTTCTTGGAAGGCAGGTTTTAAGTAACTGTTTGAAACTAACTTCTCCAGCGTAGTAGTTCTGCCTTGACTCTCCTCTGTTTTCCATTCTAACTAAAATGAAGACACCCTCAAAACTAATTTGCTGGAAGACACCTTAACCAAGCAGTCCTCTGATTTCTCTGGTGAAAACTGCTGCAAAACAAACAAAAAAACCCAAACAAACTACTTGTAATAAATTACATAGAGCCTGTAGAAAATGTAGAAGATTCAGTGGATGTTGGTCTAGTTCTGTGTGGAAGACTAGTGATTTTGTTGTTTTTAGATAATTAAATTGACAACAAATCGCAGTCTGCCATATGGCACAGATCATGCCTCTACAGGACAAGTTGAAATCAGGACAGTTTGGTGCAAGCAAAAAGCAGCATTTCACACCTTGCTAGTGTCACCTTGTCATTTCTGCCAAATGCAAATAACAGCTTCAGATATAATTTGCTAAGTTTCGCTTTATTAACATGTTAGCTATCATAGTAGATTTTAATGTTTAACTTAACTGTTCGGCTTCAGATCACTAATGCATAAGTGTGCCTAAAATATTCATATATATGTGTGTACATATATATAATTACTAGCAGTTAATCTTTTGTAACTATTTTTTACTGTGTTACAAGTTCTTGAAACGTAATCTGTTCTAAGAATGTCATTGTTAATGTTGATGCAAGATGTATGGTCAATCATTCTAATACATGCTTTTTTCTTTTTCTTTTATAGTGTGAAGCAGTATGCAGATGTTGAAGGATTCTAATGCAAGATTATTTTTTCTTTTTTATAGTGTGAAGCAGTATTCTGGAAAGTTTTTCTAAGACTAGTGAAGAACTGAAGGAGTCCTGCAACCTTTTTTTTTTTTATCTGCTTCTGTTTAAAAAGCCAACATTCCTCTGCTTCATAGGTGTTCTGCATTTGAGGTGTAGTGGAATCTTTGCTGTCCACCAGATGTAATGTTTTAGTTCCTTACAAATATTTTGGGGGAGGGAAAGGGCGCGTGAGACTAACATTGAAATTTTGAAACAGCAGAGAGAGTGAATATCATTTTTTGTTCACTGTTGGTGGTAAATTGTAACGTTTCTTTGTAACTGTTGTGAACACCCTGCTTTCATGTACACTGTACCTTTTGAAGGGGGAGAATACTGGTAGTCCACCTGTCCTTGGCATCCTTTGAGAGCAGTGTGCAGAATGTAATGCTCTTTTGTAAGAAACATTTTTGATTTTTCAATAAATTTAGTGAACCTATTCTTGGTGGTCATCTCTCTTTAGATATAAATAAGGTAATATCTAAAATCAATACACCCTTTTATTTCCCCCCACAAGAAAATGCATAAGTGAAATCTGCTGTTAAGCTTGCTTTATGCTTCTTTGATATAGATGGAGCTATGTGGGATTTTTTTAACGATGAGACTGTGTGAAGCAATGGCTCAGCTTTGCTACTTGGGGATAAAATGCAAAAATGTTCATGTGAACTTAGTGTAAAAAGACTTTCTGCAAGTGTTTGGCCCTCTTTGCAGTACCTCTATATATTGGTGACAGTACATAAATAAAATATTTAAGAACATTGTGATGTCACTGAGTAAGCAGTGGTAAAGCACACTGGTTCTAGACAGCTCGCTTAATGCAAATAACACTTAGAAATGGCAGTTGGTTAGCTGTTCTCAGAGCTTTCATTTGTATGAGGTAGGCATTCTTATGAATTGGCAAAGCGACAGTATATAACTCTGTAACTTGTTTTTGTTGTATACAAAACTTAACCTTGTTTGGTTTCCCTGCTGTATGTTTAATGCCATAGAAAATATGTGAGAAATAAAAAAAGAAAAAAAAAAAAAAAGAAAAGCCTCCTGAATATCTCATGTGTAATACCTTTGTATTTATAGTTTGAGTCTAAATTTCACTTCCTAAATAAATAACAAAAATAAATTAAAAACTGCAAACCGAGTTGCATATACGTATGAGTGGATTCTTTGTTTCCCTTCAGGTGCAGGTAGGACGCTTTGCTTTCCTAGTTTTGGTTTTTTTTTAATCGTGGTGTAATTCCTGCCTTGGTGGGATGGGAGGGTTCGAGGGCCCTGCCTCGGAGGCACACACACAGAACCACACAGAATCACCCGGATTGGAAGGGACCTCAAGGATCATGTAGTTCCAACCCCCCTGCCTAGCAGGGCCACCAAACACACACATTCAGATCAGGTTGCCCAGGACCCCGTCCAACCTGGCCTTGAACACATCCAAGGACGGGGCATCCACAACCTCCCTGGGCAATTACGGGGCGGCTTCGTGTCCAGGAAACGAAGCCGACTGTCCGATAAGTAAGGGCGAAGGAAGCGGGACGTGTGTCGCGTCTCTTCGTGCGCGCGTTCAGCGACGCGGCCCGCCCGCCTCGCGGGGGCGGCCCAAACCCGCGCTGCCCCAGGCGCCTGCGCAGTGCGAGGCGGGAAGCGGCGCCCCGCCGCCGGAGGGCCGGCAGCGCTCGAGGTGGGGCCCGCCGGGGCGTGGCGGTCGGAAAGCGCTCCCGTTTCCTATCCGCGGGAGGTGGCGGCATGGAGGTGCTCCCGTCCCCGCTGGAGTCCGCCAGGTTCATCGCGGGCCGCAGCCGAGACGTGTCGGTGGACGAGGAGGGGGCGAGAAAGGTGGCCGAGTCGCTATTCGATAAAGCGTCGGAGGAGGCGTTCGGCCTGTCGGGATGGAAGGCGCTGCACGAGCTGAACCCGCGGGCCGCCAGCGAGGAGGCGGTGAGCTGGGTGTTCCTGGTGGACACCCTCAACTTCTCCTTCTGGTCCGACAGCGCCGAGCAGAAGTGCCTGGTGCGCTACAAGGGCAAGGCGTACAGCGGCTACTGGGCGCTCTGCGCCGCCGTCAACCGCGCGCTGGACGACGGTCAGTGCGGGCGGGGCGCTCCGTTGGGTGGGCGGCTGCCCCGGGGGGAAGGGAAGTCCCCGCTCGCGTATAAACGGCTTCGGTGTGGCTGCGGTCAGCGCTTTGTTCCTTCGGGTGTTTGAGGAGGCAGCGCCGAGCTGCGAGCCGTCTAGGTTGGCCCCGTGGGTCTGAAAAGCACGTGCCTGCGCAGGGCTGTTCGGCGCTCCTGGGTGCGCTCGTTCGGAGAAAAAGAGAAAAAGAATCTGAATGTGAAAGGGAAACTGTAGTAACTTTTCTACTTATTTCCTTTTTAATTAAAGGAGAGCTTGCGATAAGGTCCTTCTTGTAAGTACGTAACAGTGAGGAGCTCAGGCAAAAAAAAAGACTGATAGGAATGGCCATATGTGGCTGGAGGACAGTGTGTGCACCGTGCCGAGTGATGGAAACAAACCCGTGGGGGAAAATCATGTGCAGAAAGTAAGAAACGAACCATGGCTACGTATCAGAAGTTCCTACCCGAGCAGGGAGCACACCAACCAAGTGCGTGTGGTGTTACGTTAAGCAGCTGTCTGAGTGTGATCTTCACTGCACGCTGTCAGTTTTAAGAGTTGAGGCTCTCTGCGTCTTACGTCTGCGGTGGGTATGTGCCTAATGTCTCTGGGTGTAGAGCGGCAGCCTAATATCTTGTTTTTGCTCTTCTGAAGGAATACCTATCACCAGTGCCTCATACTATGCCACCATGACGCTGGACCAGGTCAGACAGGTGTTCCGCTCCGACACAGAGGTGCCCATGCCTCTGCTTGAAGAGAGGCACCGGGTGCTGAATGAAAGCGGGACGGTTCTGATGGAGAAGTTTGGAGGCTCTTTCCTCACCTGTGTTAAAATGAGTGAGAACAGCGCTCAGAAACTACTACGTCTTGTGGTGGAAAACTTTCCTTCTTACAGAGATGAAGCTGTTTTTGAGGTAAGTTTGAAGCAGCACTGAATTTTGTATGATATGAACTTGAACTTTTTCCTGGTTGTGGCTTTAAAAAATAGATGGTGATTTAGTTATTTATTGGAGCAACAGTTCAGAATTGGTGTCAAAATTTGTGTATTTATCACAGCTTCTAGTACAGGAGAAGGGAAACTGAACATAAGTTCCAAAGAAGGACAGTAAGGCTTGTAAAGAGCTTGGAGAATGTGCCCAATGAGGAGGAACTGAAGGAACTGGGGCTGTTTAGCCTGGGGAAGAGGAGACTGAGGGGAGACCTTATTGCTCTCTTCAAATATCTGAGTGATTGCAGTAAAGAGCGGGATTGGTCTCTTCTCACTGGTGACAGGACAAAGAGAAATGGCCTCAGGTTGCACCAGGGTAAGTTTAGATTGGATATCAGGAAGGGTTAGATTGGGTATCTTTACAGAAAGGGTTGTTACGCACTGGAATAGGCTCCCCAGGTAAGTGGTTGAGTCACCATCCCTGGATGTGTTTAAAAACCATTTGGATGTGGTGCCTCAGAGACATGATTGAGCAGAGAGTTGTTAGAGTTAGGGTAGTATGGTTAGGTTGTGGTTGGACTGAATGATCTTGAAGGTCTTTTCCAGCTTCAGGTTTCTATGATTCTATAATAATTTCTGTGGAATTTAGAAGTTAAATTCAAGGGAAGTAGAAGGGAAACACAGCACAATTTTAATATTCCACTTCAAATCAGTATAGGGATTAGTCTGCATAATGAAAATCAGACTTTGAAGCAGGTTATCTAATTATATAAATTGTTACGAGTAGTACAGATGGGGAAGATAAATACTCTTTGGCCAAAGTATTTGTTCTTCTAAAGATAGGGTAAAGGTATTGAGATTCCATTTCTCTATCAGTCTAAACCTCTGAAAACAACATCACACCATTTATTAACAGCAAATGAATCTCCATTGTCTAAAGTACTGAATTGGCCAGGAAAATGTATCTAGGGTTGTTGTTGTTTTTTTTTTTTTTTTCTTTCTGTAGTGGAGAACCAGTTTTTGTTTTTTTGTTTCTTTGTTTGTTTGTTTGTTTGTTTGTTTTGTGGGCTGTATTCTTCACTCTGTTGTAATCTATTTTGATATACTCCAAGTTTAAGCACAATTCTATTTTATGTCTTATAAATGCGTAACATAATTTTTGCCTAGCAAATCAGAATCTTTGTTTTTCTTGTCTTTTTTTCCTTAAGTTTTACCTCTCTCTCTCTTTTTCTTCATTTACCATGAGGATCATTGCATCTTATGGAGGAAAATGGAGACTCCAATAGTATTATGAAAATGTACAACTGACTACCAGGAATCTGTAACTGCTCTTAGTTCAGTAGACCTTGCAGAAATGGCTACAGGCCAGAATTAACCCTAAATGTCACACCACTTATTTCAGAGTTGAACAGTGCATAAGCTTTTTGCAGCAGTTTCTCTGAAAGATGGGAAGTAAGTAGAGTGTGTTTGGTGTCTCCAGTTGTCCCTATGCAAGCACCCTTTTTTTAAACCTTGGTGACATGTAGCTGCTACTGTCCTCTGTTCCATCTGTGGTACTATTCAGACATGACATCAACAGAACACCTTATTCTATCTCCAGTGCAGCCTGTGCTAAGTGATAGCTTGTACAGGCCTTTGGAAGTAGTGCCCTGCAGCCGTGTTCGTTGTGCCTCTGAACCAACTGCTTTTTTCACTTACCTGTGATGTTGAGTAGGTGGCATCATTTTTTACTTCTTTGTCTCCTACTGTGAAGATACCATATTAACTTGAAAAATCAGAGATTCTCTGTAACTTATCGGTGATGTTACTGGTTGAATTTATTGAGGTTTTTACATATGAGGTCATTTTATAATGACTTTTGTGATCAAAAAAAGGATGCATTTTTCAAGTGGTAAATACAGTATTTTCTTTCTTTATAGTGACTATTCACTGACGTACTGTCTTTCATGAGATGGTGCTGAGTGCTTTATAAAGGAAGGCTCTCTAAAAGCAGCAATAGACTACAGAATGAAAAGCTGTTCCAAAAATGATTCCAGCCCGTAAGCACTGACGTAGTAGTGAAGTCTATTGCATAAACACAGAAGCTGTTTTTCTACTTTCACTAAGCAAGCTGTGTGTTTTGAAGGTGGATGAAATAATACAGATGAGGTTTACACTTTATTTGTTCTGTAATATATTTTTTAAGAAAACATAATATGAGGTGAAATGGATTGTTTTATCAACACCATTTCTATGCAGCCAGTTAAGATCTCACAAGTAAAGATTTGCCTTCATTACAAAGAGAACTAAACGTAGGTATCTGACAACATACTGGTGTTTTTCACTTATTCTCTGTAATAGAAACGTGTGTAAGAATAAATTCTGTACTGCAGTAAATCATACTATCACAGACTGCTACAGCTCTCCTATGGTCTGACCTTCTGGAGGAACGTGTAAAATAAAGACAATTTATTGGCTGCATGTCTTACCAAAACTGTATGCTAAAAATTTGTCACAGGCACACATTATTGAATGTCATTACGTATTGCCTATTTTCTCTTGCTTCAGTGCAGTGAGGTGCAAACCAAAGCCCCTGAAATCTTTTTGTGCTATTATGGGTATTTCGTATTTAGACATTGTGCTGACTTTAAATGCTAGCAGAACTTTAAAATCAAAATTATGCATCAGGATTTTCATGTTCTGACATATGTTTGAGTCCTCCCAAGCTTCCAGTCATCGATGCTGCGTGTATGCACTTTTTTGTTTCCCATCATTTTTTATAGAGGTGGTTAGATTCGTTTGCTCTTCCTATTCTCTGCTTTTCTTCCTAGTTGTGCCATCATGTTTATATATTTGCCGACACAGTATCCCTTCTTTCTTTTAATATCCATAGGTCCAAATTAGCTCTGTCTCCTTCTTGAAGTATCAGGTTGTGAAGGTAGTGGAGTGGTGAATGAGAAGAAGTAGTAGCTTTTCTTAGAATGTAAGGGCAGAAAAGTTGTTGAAAATAAGTGTAGGTTTGTCACCATCAGGTAAAATGTTCAGTTTTTGGAGAAATTGCAGTCTTTGAGAGGTAAGTACCTTTCACCCAGTGCTCTTCTTGCTCTCTGTTAAAAAGAATGGTGGGAAAATTTATTATAAAAGCTTGATTGTCTTTTCCATATAGAAAATTTTTGCAAACTTCAGATCTGTGCATCATAAAAACTACCAGCTGAACCAATGAGATCATAAATCCATAAGAAGTCCTACACAGTATTTTTCTTCCAAGCTAAACTGCAGCAGAAGACGGAAAGTTCAATCTGAAGTGTCTCTTCCATATTGCTCTTGTAAAATGATGTGGTGCTGCTGCTTATTGCACTGGAAAAATCTTAACACTACTAAAAGAGCGATGACCTTGGTTTTCATTAGCTCCAGGATACTGGGAGCTGTGATGGAATTTGGTCTATTATTATTATTTTATTTATTTGCCCTGGAGAGTTTTGAACAGTATTTCGTTATTTAATAGAGGAAATGTATGATTCTCTAGAAGGAAATGTGTACATCTGTGTCGAGAGGGGAATGAAGCACAGAGAATGTTTTCAGAATATTTGCAGAAGGTGTTCTGTGAAATGTTGTTGTAGATCTTGTTTTCAGTGTTTCTGTACAGTTGCATTTCTTGGCAAGAGGAATGGTCTGTAAAATCTGAGCAGTAATATAAAATGAAATACTCTTTAAAAATGCCATTTATGAATTGTGGCTATATGAAGTGCGCTAGAACGGAACTTCAAGTAAGTAAAATCCCCGTCTATACTTTTGCTTAACTGTTTCAGTTACATCACACTGTTAACCATACCTCAAAAGTTGAAAATTTGGTCTATAAAATGAAGGAAAAAAAAAACCAGAATTTTTTTTCCTGAAGTTCACATTATGTTTATCATAAAATAAATCTCAACTCCGTACGGATTTCAGCACACTGTTAGTTTTTCCCCTTGTGAGTAGTCAAAAAAGTATGTAAATTTTTGCGGGGCTTACACCAGCACAAAAAAGAATGTAATAGTAATAGACCCAGCCAGTGTTAAACAAAACCTTATACTTGTGAATACTGAATTACTAAAATTATTTTTTTCTCTGTCCTCTTCATAATAAGCAAGATGCACTAGACAGCACTGAGCATCATGTGCTATAGTTTTCAGCAAAATTCTTTTTGTTAATATTGAGTTCTTAAAGGAAGTTCATGAAACATGTGAACTGTTTGATATGTGCTACTTAGCTTGGATGCTCTACGAGCTCTAGGGCTTCAGAAAAAGTGTTTGCATGACTTTGACTGCTGTTTGTGAAGTAGAAGTAAACCAGCATTAATGTTTTCTGTTATCTGAGCATTTTTTAAATATGAATAATTTTTTATTCCACTGCTGTTTTTAATGAGGATTGCACTTGTGTGCAGTTCGGTATTTAGATTTTAAGGTACTTTTAGCATTGCACTTTTATTGCTTTAGTTAATATTTTCTTAGTAAGATACATCTTTTGTTGTGTTTTCTAGAGCAACATAACTTACCTATTTTCCTGTGTTTTCATTTTCTGTGTTTATTGAAATGTCCCTAGCACTTAAAGTATTTCATTTTTTCTCATCAGAAAAAGAAGGTGTCTTTCTACAAACGGGCACAAATACTTGTGGCTGATACATGGAGTGTATTGGAAGGCAAGGGAGATGGCTTTTTTGGAGACATTTCTAGCCTGACTATATTTGCTGACTACAGAATTCCTCAAGTTCTTGTTCATTTAAAAGCCATGAAATATTCTGAAGATCTAATGAAAAAGCTACGTGAAGGTTTGTTCCTTCCTTATATTGTAAAATACTCTTATGTTTTTAATCTGTCTATTCCTAGGGTTAAACACTGGCAAAGTATGGATAAAGAAACTCTTAGGGGTTGATTGCAGAGTTTCAGAAGTGGCACTGTTGACGGCAGCATTTTCCACCATGACTGTGGTTGTGATTTTGAGATTTAGATAGTAGAATCAGTGATTTCTTCATCAGTTCAAAGAACGTGGAAAAGCATGGAGATTCTTGTTTGTCAGTACTCAACCAGACTTGCTATAATCAAGAGCAACAAACAAGGTAGTAAGATAAACATCCACTTTAAGAAAACAAGCCATTGCCTGTAAAGAAGATAATTGCACAGGCCCGATTCCATCTTATAATATTTATTAACTAGGAGCTTGAATGAATAAAAGCATAAACCAGTCCTTTTCGTACTGCGCGATGAATGTGTTTATAGGTATGACTATTGTTAGTGATTTTCAAGTTGCACAGCAAGATAGAACAAATGGCCCATATGTTTGAATGGCTGCAGTGGAAATGACCATAGCAAGATTAATGGAAAAGATAAATTGTTCTGTGATGGTAAATGTGTCATAGAATGTTGTGATCTGCTTGATATTTGATCTCAGTGAAGAGTAGAATTACTCCTTGCAGAAAATACCCGATGGGAATTATGTTTGAGTATCCCTTTTGACTCCAGAAATGAAACAGTCATATATGTACAGTCAAGCCACCTGTTCTCACCCCAAGCTCAGTCTTTTAGAGTACAGGATGGCTTCTTAGATGAAAGGGAAGCAAACCTAACAAATACAGTAATGTTAAAGTAATCCACAGAAAATGTACAGTAACATAGTAGTTGCAGTGCAAGGGGTGGAAATTGTGGTCCTGGAGTAGCTTAAATGTGAAACAAAAAGGGAGAATCCTGGACATCTGGGGATTCTGTCTCCTGAATGTAAATGATTGCTGTCTCTTGTCTTACAGGAACTGTTTTCAAGTCTGGAGACAGAGAAGAGGTGGAGATCCGTGGTTGTTCGATTTGGTGCTGCACGCTGATCTGCAGTCACTTGCTGGAGCTCTATGAGAAGAAGGGTCAAGACATGCGTGATCAGATCAACGCAGTTTTACTGGATTACTATCTCTGGGACTATGCCAGGGATCACAGGGAAGATATGAAAGATATTCCATTTCACCGAGTACGGTGTATATATTACTAAGTCCAGCAGGATAGCTACTGTATTGTTGTGTTTCCTTTTCAATTACAGTTCCTTTTTTCGTATAGTGATTTATCATGTACTATTTTGGAACTTGCTAAATCAAACAAACACTTTCTGATAACATATGAATTATTTGCTTGATTTCTTTGAGTCACATGCTGATTGAGGTTGGAGTTAATAATATAAAACTGCTGGAAAATTTGTAGATTTTTAGTGATACAGATTTTATTACTCTTGCTTTTGTGTATGGATATGTACATGTATCTACATACATACAGTCGTGTATATGTACATGTATAAGTGTAGGTTGCTCTGAAAGTAATGCCTCCTGTTTATTTCCATGAAAACTATAGCAGGTACAAAGAACGGCACTGTTTGACAGACCAGATTCTCAGCAACAAAGTACTGTTTTTTCCAGAAGCTGGCCAGAGGTAGCTATACATTTTTGCCAGCAGCGAACAAGAATCAGCATGCCAGGCCTGTAAAAATGTGCACCAGGGGAGGTGGCCCACTGGCACTGTCTCTACTGCTGGATCACACCCCTGCCACTCCACATTCACAGCTTGGTCTCCAGAAATGTTCAGCAAATGTTGGTGAATGTCGGTGGGTGCCACTTTTTCTGCATGGAGGAATTCATTTCCATCCCTTTGCTTAACGCACGCTTCTGTGTCAGACACCATTCTGTCAGACTGCCCCTCTGCTCCTATCTGTTGCAGACCAGCAAAGTGTAACGGGATGCTGGGGGGAAGGTGCAACCTCTCCTGTTGTACCACCAGCATTCACCTCTGACAGCACGAGCCAGTGTAATAAAATAGGATGCATTGCTTTTGAGCAGCCCCATACACGCACATGGGTGCGTACGCAGCCCTTCGGTGGCAGTGGTGCCGTGTCAGAATGTACCTTACCACACTGAAGTGACTTGTCCTTCCTTTTGTCTGGGAAAAGCTCGCCTTACATTCCTAAGCTTTATTGTTAAGCGATCAGCGCAACTCTTGTAATAAAGCGTGCAGAGCGTAAGCAGGCACCGCCTTCGTCCTTCCGGGGAGCTCCGGGGCCGCCGCGCCTCCCGCCGTAGGGGGGCGCTGCGGGCGGTGCCGCGGGGCCGCCGCCGGACGTTGCTGCCGTTGCCTAGCGAGGCGCTGTCAACAGCGGGCAGCGCGGGCGCGGAGGCCGCTACGGGAGTTGGCGGGCTGTCTCCGCCTCCCGGCCGCGCCGCCCTCCGTCCTTTCTTCTCCGCTCGGCGGTGTCGCCGGGCTGAGTGGTTCTTCCTTAGTGAGAGCTCCTGGAGGCGGCCGGTCCCGAGCTCAGCAGGTTTGGAAAGAGGCTGGGCCGCTGCCACAGCGCTGCCCGCCCGCTGCTTCCCGGCACCGCGGCGTTCCGTGGTTTGGCGTGCGGCGCCTTCTGGCATTCGCCCGTTGTTAGGGGGTAGTGCATAGGGTGGCTTGCTCTCCCTCTCTGCCTTGCAGTGACCTCTGTTATTTACTTTCTTTTTTTTTAAGAATAACTTCAAAGAGGGGAGTAGCAGCTTTGTGCGGCTGTCCTTGCCGGGGATAAAAGGAGGGCCCCCAGGTAGTTAAAAGCAGACGTAGGCCAATATGTGGCTCGGCTGTGCGTGCAGTAAGTCATACAGTCACTCCTGGTTGTCCCGTCCTTTGTGATGCGAGGACGGTTCCAACCCCAGCTTTGCCTGTTTGACTTCCAGCTGCTCGGATTAACAAAATGGGGCTTTTCTTCAGCCCCCAGATAGAGTTCCTCAGCTCCAAACTAAATAAGACTGAACGAGGTGCAAAAGCTCTTCCTTTTGCAACCACAAAACACCACGTCTCTAAAACTCACTTGTAAATATATCAGGAAACCTGAGTGTCATATGCTTAGCAGATGAGTTCTGCTAGGCAGGAGGTCTGCAAGTTTCCCTCGCCTCATAAAGCTGCTGAGAACTGGCTTAACTAAAAGCTGTGCTGAGGATCCAGCAATGTTCCCAACAGACAGCTTTAAGGAAATGCTGTTCTTTGACGCTTTTCTTTGTGCTGCACTGCAGTGCTGATATGCTAAGAATGAGCATGCAGGGGATGGTATCAGGAAGCGTGCATGCTAAAATATATAATTAATAGAAGTTAATTACATGTAGGCATAAAGAGGCAGATTAAATCAGATGAATGCTTTGTATGTAGTAATTGGCAATGTGTGAAACCATCCTGCCTTGCAGGCAGCACAACAGCCTGCTCTGCATTTCTCAGGTTATAAACATGTGATCCTTCTGAAGTGGAAGAGGCTTCTAAGGTACATATATATGTATATACATATAACAGGAGAAAAAGGGGTTGTTTGACTGGTTTCTGTTGCCTATGCAGCAGGAATGTAGCAGTAGGAAAGTAAGATTCCTCATAAGGACCTGTCTTATCAATGTTTGTGAATAAGGCCTTGCAATACTGCTTCTTCATTTGGCTTTATTGAGTTCATAGAGAAAGTCAGGCAACTTTCAGGCTTAAATCTGCTCAGAAACTAATAGTAACAAAATTAAGTTATTAATTCATTTAACAGTTATTAATATTGTTGCTTTTCTGTCACAGTTACTTTTTAGAATTTAAAGACACTTTGTATTGTTAGGAAACTCTGACATTCTACCTCAGTAGGGAATTAATTCTTATTAAATAACTCAGAAAACATTTTTTTTTTAGTTGCAGAAATAGTGAATGAGATGAGCACACAAACTGTGACATTTGCAGTGACTGTGTGAATACCAAGTGTGGAGCACAGAAATGGAAGCTGGCATGGAGGAAATCCCAGTTAAAGTTGCAGTAAGGATCCGACCTCTCCTTTCCAAGGAAGTACTTCATAATCACCAAGTGTGTGTGAGATTAGTTCCAAATACACAACAAATTATCATTGGAAAAGACCGTGCCTTCACTTTTGATTATGTATTTGGCAAAAACTCAACCCAAGGAGAAGTTTATACAGTTTGCATTAAGCCTCTTCTACTGTCTTTAACGGAGGGATACAATGCTACAGTATTTGCATATGGACAGACAGGCTCTGGGAAAACTTACACCATTGGAGGTGGTCACGTTGGTACGTTATCTTGTTGTGTTCCTTTTTTTTCACTTGTGTACAATGCACTTGTACAAATTAAGTAATTAATGCATAGCGGATGGAGCTGGAGAATGAAGGGGTCTTGAAAATCAGTATAATAGAAAAAAAAAAAAGGAAACACAAAAATATCCAAAGTGTATGAAACAATTGAAATGTTCTAAACACAAATTCTGTATACATTAAGTTGTAAGAAAAGTATTGGAGAAAGAAACAATTTGGGTTTTTGTTTGTTGGTTGGTTGGTTTTTTATGTTTTTGTTTTGTTTTGTTTTTTGCATTTTAACATGCAACTTAAACTGTAACTCCTTTCTGAAATCCATGACTACATGCAGTGCTTTAGAAATTCTCAATGCTTTTACCTTACTGAGAAAATATCTGCTTTAGGCAATGGTTTGTTTACTCTCTATTGGCTTCTTTTGAGAATCTGGCAAAGGTATTAATTTCATGTTTAAGTTTCACAGAATCAATTCATAGAATCACAGGATGGTTTGTTTGACTTGGAAGGGCATTAAAGTCCACCCAGTTTCAACTCCTTACCATGGACAGGGCTGCCACATGCCAGATTGGGCTGCCCAGGGCCCCTTCCCACTTGGCCTTTAGCATTTCCAGGGAAGGGGCACCCACAGCTTTTCTGGGCAGCCTGTGCCAGTGCCTCACTGCACAACGTGTAAAGAATTTCCTCCTAACATCTGACCTAAGCCTCTCCTCTTTTGATTTAAAACCATTCCCCCTTGTCCTACCACTGTACCTCCTGACAGCATTCTTCCCCATTTTTCTTCTAGGCTCCCTTTGAATACTAGAAAGCTGCTATAAGGCCTTTTCCCAAAGCCTTCTCTAAATTGAAGTTTCTGGAATAATTTAGAACTTAACTTTAAGTCCTATTAATGGATTAAAACAAATATTCTTATCAACAGAAAAGCAAGTATTTTCATAAATCCTAGAGAGCCCTGAGCTCTTCAGATTACTTACTCCATCAAGTAGTAAATATCACAGACTTCTCATTAGCTTCAGCCTTTGTAATTTATGCAGCAGAATGACTGCAAGTGTCTGTGACATCTTTCTTTGTATTTTAGCCTCAATTGTGGAGGATGAAAAGGGCATAATCCCACGGGCTATTCAGGAATTATTTCAGCATATTTCTGAAAACCGTAACATTGACTTCCATGTGAAAGTATCTTATATAGAGGTCTACAAGGAAGAACTTCGTGATTTATTGGAGTTGGAGACCTCTGTGAAAGATTTGCATATCCGAGAAGATGAAAAGGGGAATACAGGTAGGATTTTGGATCTAAAATTTGATACACATGGTTTCAGCTGTATGCCCAAATTATTCTTTCCATCCTGAAAAGAGAGAAATAGCATCAGGTGCTATGGTAGAAACACAGTTACTGCTTCTGCAAATTCTGCCTAGAAACACAATGGTACCTACATATTCAGTTGAATAAATATTTTAAAATGAAGCCTTCTCACTTTAAGGTTGTATTTGTCAAGCTACTTGCACTGTAAATATCAGCACCCATTTCACTCTGAAATGAGTGGGACAAAGAATAGTATCATGTGATATTTTTAGGAGCTCTGAAATTAACATCGCATAGTTCTCATGTCTCTGCAGGAAGATGCTATAAGAATCCACTACAGAGTCTTTTTATTCTGAAACTGAGTGATTTGTATTTCGTTTTTGTTTTTTCTTTATTCTTCATATTTTCATTTTTGTATTCTTTACATTATTATTGTTATTGTTGTTATTGTTATTATTATTATTATTATTGTTTTGAGCTAGTATGGCTTTCTTCTCTGTAGCTGGAAAAAGGCACTACATGCAAATGCAGTTAGTACAAAGCTTAGTCTGCAAACAGTATCATTGCTTCATGTACGTATGTATATATACAAGTGTGATACTGTTGTAGTATTTAAGCATAGTAATATTTGAACTACTGCATCAGGACCATTTGAATCATCTTTAGTCGATCGTGTACCTGCTATGGTATTTTCCATCCTTTACTAAAACAAAGGATTAAAAAATCAGCTGTTACGAACATTAATTACCACCTCTACATTATGAGATTACTCCAACGGTAGATATTTCTCTGAAAGGCCTTGCTACCTAATCTATACATAATATGCTGCTCCTAACATAGGCTGGCTGGGAATCATTTCTACTACGAACTTTTATCTGTCTTTTTTTAACTCACAAAGTAAGTGAGATTGCTCACTTCAAATTGCATATATCTTCATGTAAATGCCTAGAAGTGTGTGTTCTGTTTAAGGTACTGTTACAAATGCTATGAGGCGATACACCCACACTACAAATTTATGTGGGCTTCAGATGTGCTGTAATTCATGGTTAACGTACTATTTTCTTTAGCTATGTGCTGTGACTTTATAATGTAGGCTTGTATGTTTCTTTGATTTGTGTTTATAAATTGCCACGAATTGTTGCTGAAAATAATTTAATTATTCTTATTTTCTTCGGTATGGTGTTTAAGTAATTGTTGGTGCTAAGGAATTCCAAGTAGAATGTGCCGATGAAGTAATGAGCCTGTTGGAAAGTGGCAATGCAGCTCGTCACACAGGCACAACACAAATGAATGAGCACTCTAGTCGATCTCACGCCATTTTTACCATCAGTATTTGTCAGAAACTATCTGCAGAGTCTCAGAAATGTACTGATGTATCGGAGAATCCATCTTGGAAGTCGGTCAGAATGATTGCTTCAAAGTTCCATTTTGTGGATTTGGCAGGATCAGAGAGAGTGACAAAGACTGGAAATACTGGTGAACGGTTCAAAGAATCAATTCAGATCAATAGTGGTTTGCTGGCCTTGGGAAATGTCATCAGTGCTCTTGGAGACCCAAAAAGGAAAAGTATGCACATTCCATACAGGGATGCTAAAATCACTCGTATTCTGAAAGACTCCCTAGGAGGAAATGC